AGAGGGAACCGTAGCGAACCCACCTTTTGCTGCTTTTTGCGGGTGTCCGGGTTTGTTTCGTGTGTCTGTTGAACACGCAAAGTTAAGCAACACACCCTCTGCAGTCAGCCCAGACCAGCAAGCATGCGGGCAAACCTGCAACTTGTGGGGGGTTGATTTTCGTTGGCCAGTGGTTTGAAGCGTTCGCAAGTTTCCCCAAAAGGGACGGGTGATGGCGCGAGCATGGATCATGTATGTGAAGTATGTGGGCCAGAGTCATGCTTCCCTTAGTCGAAGTAATTCCCATCGTGGTGTGAAATCACAACTAACAATTTGATGGCCATGTACTATCTACCAGCTCCAATCTTAGTTCTCTTCGACCCCTCTGCCAAGGAAAGGTTGTGGGTCCAATGCAAAATCCGGCCTGTTTCAACCGAAAAGTTAAAGTCCAAAGATCCAACCAAATAGCGATAAAGCAAATAAAAGCGTCTTTGGGCCACCGCACATTTGGTTTATGTAGGGTCGGCGCTCTTTGTCCATTAAGCCAGCGGACCATGGGTTCTCCATATGGGCGGCTCGTCTTTGCTTGGAGTTGGTACCCCTTTGTTGCGGTATTGAAGGGCAGCCAACAAGGAAAGCCGCAGCCATTTTGGGAGTCCCGAAAAAAGAAGACACAGTCATGTTCGCTTTACCGCCGAATTGTTAAGCTTGTCATACAATCGCCAAATATTCGAGTACCAAAAGATCCTCTGAGAATGAGAGTCCACACCCAGCTGCGGCAACTTTGCCTGAGGACAAGGGCAAGTCGCTGCTGTTAAACACCTCGGGGCGAGAACACATGACAGAGACAGAGAGAGAGGTGTGCTTTGAGCTGTCCCCTGGGGTACGTGTCAAAATAGGGAGACCCCCAAAATGGTGGTGTCCCCTCAACACAACCGCAAAAAGGGTACCCTCAACAAAAAGGCAAACAGACAGACAGACAGACAGACAGACAGACAGACAGACAGACAGACAAACAAACAAACAACCACAGAAACACGCAACACACGCAAACACACAAACAAGCAAACACACAACCACACACACACACCAACACACACGCACAGAACATTGAGATTGGGGCGGGTTCCAAACCCTTCATATCTGAGCTTCCCACCGCAGAGGCAGAGGCGGGCTGATCTGGTCGTGCCTGCCGCGACGAAGACGAAAGAGGATGCTGGAAGGGAACACGAAGGAACGCAATCTGGGTGACTTCTATATTTCACCAACCTAAAATAAGGTGGTTGAGGGGCTATTACCCACAAAAACCACCATTTGGGGTGAATTCGGTCGTGTGAGGTCGTTATCTCACCCCGCCGCAATCAGTTTCGAACAAAAAGGGAACCCCTGTTTTGGGTTACCCAAGATAACGGTTGCATCTGTTTGGGTCCAAAAAGACGGCCATACCTTGTTAACTCTCTAAGCTTCCATTTGGTTAAGACCGCTGAAAAAGCAAAAACTATTTCCAGTAGTGATAGATTCCCTTTAAAACCAACCGGGAAAATCAATAAACTAATATATATATATATATACATATGAACATTTCAGCACATGGAAGTAAGTCAGTGTGACCTTGCCTCACCAAGCAAACCCAAGCTCTGGCCGGCCGTCCCAGTATTCAATCCGGCCGTCCCACTAAGCCACTAAGGGGAAGGGCAAAGCATGACGTTCCGACCCAAAGAAGTCGAGCAAGGACTTGCCCTTCTTCCGCCTTTTCCGATTTTGGATTGGGCAAAAACGTGTTCCCTCCGGAGAAAAAAACAAAAATACTTGGCCCAAATCTGGGGTACTCCCCTCCGAGTAGATGCGGAGAGGTCGGCCGTCGCCGCCGGCCTGCGTTGGGGGCAACAGCTTCACCTGAAAGGGAGCTCGAAGGACCCCCAGACGCGGGCGATAAGCTTAGAATTGGTCCATTTTAGTCAGACATCCAACGGTCCATTAAAAATGGCTACTTTAGCTTTAGTAGTCAAATGGTCCATGCTTTAGTAAAATAGCTGTAAGATTTTAGTCTTAACTATGAGTTTGGTCCTGAAATGACTGTTGAAGTTAGTAATTGAAAGTTGGAAACCCAACATGGGAACCGAACGTACTCAACAGAACTGACATCTGCCAGGAAATCAGCCGAAGGCCTGCATCGGGTTCTCCCAAGACACCCCTCAAACAAGCCGTCTGGACCCGGAGAAAAAAAAACCAAAAAACATAAGCCGTGGGGAGCCCCAAACTCCCATTTGGCACCCTTGGACCGCACCGTCAACTAGAAGTTCAACTGCTGGTTCCAACCTTGGTACAGCATTCCTCCGCTTGTTGGCCCAATTAGGACCTAGTGGACCTAGTCCCCAGCAGTACCCACAGCGTATCAAATGAATAAAATGACATGTTCATTCCAGGCGTCGAGAGAGAAAACAAAAACAAATGGTCAAGGACCCTTTCCACATCGTAGCTCAGAAAAGTGGTGTTCGGTATCATGAACACAAGCCTCAGTTGTTCAGTGACCTGGGACAAAAAAGGGCACCCTTGTTTGGGGAAGACCATTTTTATTGGGGCAGCCACCAAAAAACGATGGAAAAAGGGTGCCACTGAACAACTGAGAAACAGCATCGAATCAAAGACTCAAAGCCTTCAATTTCAAGAGACTACTTCCAATCATTGCGTTTTGCGCAAGTAAAGGAGCGGCCACAAGGTGAACCTAAAAACCCCCCTCGCCCCATTGTTGAGTCCTTTTGCTTGGATGCAATACGTAGTTTCTTTTTTGGGGGGTGTCAAAGTCAGCAACTGGGGGTGGTTCCCTTCAACCTATAACTTAGGGGTGACTTTGATGGTAAAATCAAGGGATTTGGGTGCATGCTGCAAGCTTCGCGCCCTGAAGGCCTGCACCCTTGGCAGACTCCTGAAGCTGGTTTGAGGCTTCCATCCCTCAGTTGAGTTGAGGGATGGTCGCCAAACGCAGCGTGTCTGCGAGTCAACACAAGGGCCCCTTTAAAAGGGGAGACTGCAAACATGGAGCCTTGCCATCAATTTGGGAGCTCCGGCAAGCCTCTGCGGAGCTGAAAGAGGGGAGAAACACCGGGAGCTTTTTCCTCGGTACTTGTCTTGATAATGCAGGTCTTCCAAGATAAATACCTTTTGTGTTTAATCAGTGCCTGAAAAGCAGTAATAAAATGAGCTTCTGATTAATTTCGAGGTGTGTCCTGTAACTTTTGGTGAGAAACAACCAATGAATCTGGGACATGATTAAGGGCAAACCAGGCCACAAAAGCCAAACACAGCCAACTAAGGCTTTGCACCAGCGTTTTCACCTTAGGGTGGAGGGTCTTTGAGGGGAGATGTCGTTTGTGGTGTCCCCGAATTTTGTTCGCACTCCGGCGGCTTTTTTCTTTCTCTCGCGGGTGTCCGCGACTTGCCAGTGAGCCGACAAGAATGGACCAGGGGGCATAAGGCTCCTTGGTGACTTCTTAATCCCTTAAAAGTGACGCTGATCCTCCCAGTGGATCCCAGCTACCACTATAGTCATAGGTGGCCTTTTGGAAAGCAAATGTTGGCCTGGCAAACAGAGTAAAACCAATTTATGTCTAGTGCCGTCTATGTTTATCCAAACTATCCAAAAAAGGACATCCGTGACTGTAGTAGGCAACCAGCCAATTTAATCAGTGTTTAAACTGCGGCTCCATTGGTTGCTTGCTATACTGGGAAATGCAAGCATTGGGCCTGTGTAGGGATGTTAAAACCGAGTGGCTCATTGATCTTTGGTTTCTTCGTTGCAGCTCCACGCTGTCAAATAAAACCGACAAGAACTCAACCTCAAAGCATACCAAAAAAAAATGTTTACCAATAACAAAGGGGAGAAAGGCATTCTGTTCAAGTCCAACGACGCCAAGATGGAAAGCAGGCTGTCCTCTGCCAGATTCTCTGAAGAACAATTCGAGAGAAAGCACGTCCGACCAAAAGGAAATTCAGCAGGGACAACCGGCAGGTAACTTGTCAATTTGCCCGGCTCGACAGTTCTGCGAACCGGCCGAACATGGTGCCGTTGTTCCCTCTGTCCCGTCTTGCCGACAAGGGACCCTCAAAAAGGGATACACCCAATTACCTCCCACTTGTATAAAACAGGGAACCCTTTATGGGGCCGAAATCGTTAATTGGATGGAATGCACTGAACAACTAGCAAGCTTGGCAGTGCAGACTTCGACCCGCAAAAAGTTGAGCTGAGCTTCTGCTGGTGGGAAGGGGAAAGGAAGGAAATCCTAGAAAAGACAAGTTCCGTCTGGCAATGAAATGGAGGCCCTAGCCGCTTGGTCCATGACTAGCGTCCTCCTCAGGAGGATGTCTGAGAGCTGAGTAACGGACAAACGACTCGTTCCCTTGCGCCTACTGGTAAAATCTCCGTTGTTATACACACCGCTGCCATAGAACATGTTTTGTTGGCACTTGATCTTAACCGAACCCCCCTCCAAAAACACTAGCAAAGGTTTGGAAGTGGAATACTGAAACATCCAAACAAAAAAAAACAACAAAAAGAAAAAAAAAGAAAAAAAAAAAAAAAAAACATGAGCCGAAGGGGGACACCCCACTGAAGCTTTGGGAGTGGAATACTGACACATTGTCCGTTGCTCAGACTTGTAAACTGCGATGCCTCGCACAAGCTTTGCCTGGCAAGGGCCATCTGGAAATTGGATCGCACATCTGTGCAGCGTAGGTGGTTCACCCCAAACATGCGAGTAAGCTTGGGTTCCTCTACTAGGTCCTCCAGATTTGAGAGGTTAGCACAAGTTGGTAATTACCCGATGTTTTTTTTCCGTAGCCTATTTAGTAGGGGGACCCTCCCCCAAAAAAGCTGGTCAAAGGGCACTACCGGGGGACCTAGTCTAGATTTCGTTGAAGCCGCCCCAACAAGCGGCACCCTCCGGAAGGACATATCGCTGGCCAAGAAAGGAGTTCCGACTTTTTGGGGGGAATCACCCATGTGGCAAAGAGGCGCGCTCGCCTCAGGTAGATCGTTTCACCAAGTCTGCCGTGATCACGACATCGTCGAAGGCCGACCGATCTCTGAGCATCTTCAAATCCCAACTCGCCTTGGTGCGGGCTTACTAAACGCAACAAACCCATTTTCAGGTCCCTCTTTAACTCACTTAGTGCGCGAATTGGCCAAACAAAGTCTAAACTTGTTGTCTACCACTAAAACGGTACTCCCAATAAGTCAGAAAAGTCCACGGACTTCCAACCTCATGGTAAGTGAATCATGACCACTACACACCCAACGTTTAGCGCTTCGTCCCGGATCTACGCAAGGCCTCAGACTGTGGTTTGGGGTGGGGGCAAAGGCTTACCAAGAGGAACCAGGAATACATCCAGGCCCAAAGCAATGCAGCGTGCTGGATGGAGATTGCCCCCAGCATCCCCCCATCCCCCCCAAAAAAAGCAACAAAAAACCAAACGTGCCTCGCGCTGGTAAGCCGAGCGGAAAAAAACGCACATGTTCAACACAAACAAACGGCTTCGAGGCTGAAAGTCTGACTGAACAGCAGGCGAAGACAAAAAAAAACTGGGCCCCCGGCCAGACTGACACCCCTCCCCTGCAAAAGAAACGTTGCTTTGTGCCGGTTAAACCATTTTTTGGAACACGAAGGCAACCCAAGAAGGCAACAGGGCAAGAAGGCGAGCAACGTCTGGCTGAGGAAAAAACGATGTTCCGCCGAAACACGCCTTTCGTGGGGAAGATCAAGGGAACCACAAAAATAAGCAACCCCGGAAGCCTTCCCGAACCCTAGCCCACCGGTCCAAACCACTCAAAATCTGGGCAACAGTCAAGGCTGAAAGAGGCCGTTGGGGATGAATCGATAAAACAGCTGTGGCCAACCAACAAATAGAGTAACCCCACGTTTCTCTCGTTCAATGGAGCCCGGGAAATGGAGCATAGTTCCACAAAACAGAAGTACAATACACATGAAATCCCGAAGTTGCAAAACAAAATGGAACTGGAGGGCAATGAACACCGAGCAATTGTAGCTGGGTGGCCAAATGCTTCAGTGACTGAGTCGACTTGTCCAGCATCTTGGCGGCCAATTGGCTGCTTGGGTCATACTGTAGGACCGTCCTCAGCCGTTTTCCAGGGTTCCTAAGCTATGAGGCACCCAAGATTCAGAGAGGGAGCTAGGCCCCTGTAAGGCCTACGAGTGAACATGGGGTTCTGAGCAGCTTCCCTGTGAAGCATTCAGAGGGCAACTACTTTTTGAGGATGCCACTAAGCGGTTGTTCTCAAAACAAACCTCACTGAAACCTTACTACGGAGTTCCACGTTGGAGCCCCGAGCGAGAAAAACACGACCATGCTCGTCCGAGCGGCTTGAAGTCTTCGGCGGCACTTTGGTAGTTGCCTTTCCTTAGTCTCCCAGTGGCAAGGGGGAGAAGAACGGTTTGCAATGTTTTGTCGAGTATCTGGGTGTGGCTTGTGGTTTTAAAGAAAACCCAAAGGAAAATCATCATTCGGGGGTCACCAAGGTGTGTTTTTTTGTTTGAGGGTACCGTTTGCTTGTGGTTTCAAAGAAAACCCAAAGGACAACTTTGCATCATTCGGGGGTCACCAAAAGAATCGAAACACACAAACAGTCCTTTCGAACAAAGGGCCTTGCGCTCTTACGTGCTTGTTGGTGTGGGGATGTATCATTTTCATTTTTTTGAGGAACAACTCACCGGAAAATAAACAAACACGACACAGACAAACAAACAAACAAACAAACAAACAAACAAACAGACAGACAAACAGACAGACAGACAAACAAACAAACAAACAAACAACACAAACACCACAGTGAATACAATATGACACCGCAACAGCACACAAACGAAAACGAAACACGGTGAAAAGTACTGATTGCAACTGGGCTGCCTGAAGTAAGCGTTGCCTCTGCAGCACAGCAGCACGCTAGGATCCGGCATGTACGGTATGGCCTCGCAGCTGTGCCAACGATCCAAGATGAAGCCGCTAATGGGAACCCGGACCAATAAACATCTCGTTGACTAATAGGTGGTGATCCTCTTTAGTGGGGATTCATCACTGCGGGAGGGGCACACCCGAGGGGCTTCATCTGGGGTCAACAGTACCCCAACCTCTGCCAGGCCCCTGAGTTTTATCTTGTTGGTACTCAGCAGGGAAGGAGGGAAGAACCCTTATAAACTATCCCTTGCGGTTTCCTTTAAGAGGACTGGGTTCATTCCCACATTCCCTGAGCACGAGCAAGTGAACAGCCGCTGTATATGTACGGACAAATCACCTGAGTGCGTTGAGTGGACCCCATTGGCTCTACTTATGTTTTTGCTCAGACTTTCAGTGGCCATGGGAAAAAAGGGGCACATTCGGTTGCTCTACTTCCATTTGGTCACGTCGTACTGATAGATTCCCTTTCAAACCAAAAGGGAAAATCAACATTAAAAAAAGCAAATGGAGGCTTGGGGACACCCCTCCCAAAAAAAAGGGTCAACGGGACTACAACTGGAGCTCTGGATTTGAGCCCATAGCCGGGCTTCGCTTTTGCAAGATGGGAAGGCCGGTGACACTCTTTTGAGGGAACCCCCCCATTGGTGTTGAAAGGATCAAAACGGAAAAGAACACAACAAGTTTTAGGAATATACAACCCACATTTGGGACACACCCGCACGGTGTCGGTACAAACTCAGTGAATTACACTTGGTACCCTTGTGCCCCCAAAATCCAATTTGTCACAAATCCCCCAAAATGGATTGGACTCCGAAATCGGGAGCAACCTGGGCATTTGAGCGACCGGCCTGATCACAGTCCAGGATGGTCTCCTCCAGCATCCCCAAACCCAGCTTCGTCTCCGCCCGCAGCTCGCGAGCCTCTGACTCAAAAGCGGTGTAGCCTCTAAAAACCAACGCGCTCGCACATTCGGCTCCTCCAAATCAGCTCTAGCAACTGGGTTTCTCTCACTTCCTGAGTGGATTGACCTCCCAAAAGTCTGAACTTGGTGCTTGACGCCCGAATGGTCTTGCCAAAACCGACCAAAGTCCAGCCACCCCAAGGCTGAGTTTGGCCCAAAACGGAGTTGCTCCAAAACCCCCGAAGCAGAAATTATCTACCACATATTTGTAGGTTTGAGGGATGACATTTGGCCATGGATGAACATCCATTTGCCAGCTATTTTGATGTTCACCAGGGGTACAGGGTTTTGACCCACCGCCATTTGTTACCAACAGGTCTAAGGGGCGATTCGATGTTACACCCAAGACCATCCATGAAATTTGGGTGTGTCTTTCTTTGACCCCTTATTGGTGGTTTGAAAGGAAAACTACAAGGTAACACCATGTTGGGAGCCCCGGTACGAACCCTCAAAAAGACTCCTTTGACACCCCGAACAAAGTACCCTGCTACAAACACAGATCCATGTTGGTGTGGGTCATAATTAAACCACCAGCAAACCGCAGGCTGTCCTTGGTTCCATTTACCAGGGGTAACCCATTTCAATATCCTTCCTCCAACTAACATAGCCTTTGCGGGATGATACCTGAAGTTAAATGTCCTTTTTAAGGTCTTTCTGGTGCCATATTCGTGGGACAAAATGTACCTTGTGACCCACAGCCACGTATCTTTCTTTGGGGCCCTCTTTTCAGCTTCCCTCTAATTGGCGGTTTGGATTGGTTCTTGTCGAAGCTACATGGGAAACCCCTCCACAGCGCCAAACCGGGCTCCAAAACACCAATGCGAGGGAAGCCGATCGCCGATCTTCGCTTTCGCTTCGTCGGAGCCTTGACGTGGAAGTCGCGGCACCGGATGGCCTCATCCAGATCCGCCACCGCCCCTCGGAGGTCCTCATCGGATGCTTCGGATGCGACGCGCGACGCGGGGGGGGGGGGGCGTTTCCCAGGCGGGAAAGGACCTGGCTTCCAACTTAGAACACTTTGGGTGTTTCCCTCCCCTTGCATGTGTTCCTTTATGTTTGCTAGTTTTACTATACATTTTGATTTATTCCATTTATCTATTGCTTTATCTTTTTCAATACTATCATCGATATCATTATGATTATTGTTATTGTTGTCATTAGTATTGTGACTATTCTATCACCAGCATTTTTATCACTATTATTACTTTCGACTGATTTGCAGTACTTCTTCCCCCCCCCTCCCCGTTTTCATGGAAAATTTCGGATCCCGCACCCGCCCTTTGCCCATTCACCAAAATAAGAACAGAACTTGTGGACGTAAGTTAAGGGCTTATTTTCAGGAAACAAGGGTTTCTGGTGAAAGGAAGGGGGTTGGAATGCTGTGACATATGAATGTCAACTCTAGTTAACCAATATTGATTCAAAGCCAAAGGGAAGCAATGCGAGCCCTTTGCTTCATGGCCCCTAGTTGTTGATTGGCCAATGTTCAAAGCCTAGGAATATCTGCACTTCCATCATCTGAATCGGACTTCTATGGTTTTCTTAATTGAGGACCTCGAATGGACGGAACAAGGGAGTCACAAGCCACCCGAAACGGAGTTCAGATAGGTGAGAGTGTGACTTTGACATGGATCCAGGAGAAAAAAACATAGGGGATTCATGAATACATGTGTTTTTTGTTTTTTGTTTTTTTACACATAGGGGGATTCATGAATATCTTGCGACGAGAGTTCTCATTTAGCTTCATATTGTGGCTTTCTCCGGGAAACCGGTCGTAAGAATATGGAACGCAGTATAAGACAGAGGGGGGCTATTGGCCGTAGTGAGCATGGGGTTCGCTGATGGGACCTACCAAAACATGTTCCATTTCAATCCGCCTTGGATAAACCCAAAACAAATTCCCTACTCGCACACATATAATACAAACCCATCATACAAACCCTCTGACCCTCCAATCAAGCACTCTGGTCGCGGCTCCCAAAAGATCGGAAGACTATCTTCCTTTTCGGAAATCAGGGTCCCTGTGCGCAAAGACATGGCTGTTTCTGAACTCATTTCATATTTAGGACCCGGCTGAAGACCCCCTTTCTTTCCAAAATTCACAAGTGCATTGCTTGAAACTAAAGGGACCCTATCCTGACAGGACAAGGCTTCGGAATTCACACTGCGGGCTTCGTTGAAACTACCCGAAGTCGTCATGACCCTTCAAAGGCGAGGTTCCCTCTAGGCGGGACGCCCGGATATCAGTCAACCAGGGGTTTATTACTCTTGGGTTCCCAGCATAACAAACCTGCTCCTACCACCCCTGAAACAAGTAAACACACTGACCCCGCGTTCGGTCTGTTTTAGTCTTCAAGGGGTGAGTCATAATCAAAACCTGGTAATTCGCAAAATGGTATACCGGTATACCCAACAGAATTGAGATCTCCGGGATTATTTTCTATCCTCCAGCTCCCGGGTTTTGAGGACGTGGCTCAGGTGTGTTTGCCCAAGAAATCCAACGCCCAAAAGAATGGCTGATCCAATTGTAGTGATGTAAGCCGCAAAGGGTGGGCACGGGTTTTGAGGACGTGGCTCGGGTGTTGCAATTTGAGGGGAACCCCAAAAAGCGAAGGCGGAGCTCCTGGCAGTGCTTCTTGGCCACCGCCCGCACGCAGAAGGCATCCGCCTTGCTTTCCATGCGCAAGGCTTCAGTGCAGTCGCGGATGGCCTCCTCGTACCTCGGGAGGGTACCCTACCAAGTAACATGCAACCTGATTTTTTTGGGGGGTGCTGGAGGGGCCTCCAATGACCGACTCAGATTCCTGAGATGCCCCAAATCGAGTAGTGATGTTGGGGCGTGTCTCTCTCGTGCGCCTTCGTTAACTCAGGAAACGTGTGTGTGTGTGTTGTTTCTCCTTTGGTTTCTGTTTAAGCTCAGTTCCCGAATGCATTGACCGATTACCAGTTGTTTGTCTCATTCTGAGTGTTAACCCCCCCCCCCGTATTGGGAGAACTACACAATCCCGGTCCCTTGTGGGTCTCCTTTTGGCAAAAGCAAACATGTGGGCTCTGTTGCCCTGCCCATTTGGAGAGGGCTATTCCAAGTCGCTTCGTGCACTCCAGCCGAATCTTCCCGCGCTGCAGGAAGTTGTCCGCAATGGGGTGGAGGCGAATCGCCTGAAACCCAAGCCCCCAGACACGGGACAATCCCATGTCTGCCTTTTGCTTTTGTGTGTTGGTCATGGTGATGGGTGCCCCATACAAAGGTTGCCTACAATCCCTACCAAGGGGGTGCTGAAAATCCATGCCACCTCCATATCGCAGGACCTCTGATTGGATGGACTGGGATGCTATGCAAAGACTCTCAAAGCTCAGGGTGTGTTGCCTGGGTTTGCCTCAAAGCGTAGGACATAGGTGGGCTTTGATTCTCAATAGGCAACCACCTCAAGAGTGTTTGGACACAAACTCCCAAAACCATGTCCTCCCGCAATTTAATTTCACACGCAATCCATGTGTGTGGGTTTGTAGTGGTGAAAAGGAAGCCAACAGGAAAACCGCACAATGATTTCCAGCGCCCACCCCAACTACTGCTTTCTGGACAAGTACCGGAACCCAGACCCTGAGTGGCCATGGAAAAAGCAGACTTCGTTTTGGCCGCAAAGGAAAAAGGGAATGCACCCTACAGCAGGTCTGGGGTTATTGTGTTCGAATTGCTCCCCTGTGACATCCAAACAAGGGACCGCATCTACTCCCGAACCCTGTTGCAAGAAATCCTTGGAGGGGTGCGGAGGCTTTTTGGAGTCTACTATCATTCACCAACGTGAATCAAACTAAGAAGCCAGCTACAAACAAATCTACAGGGAACCCTGTGTTTTGGTGGGTATCTGTAACTTCCTGAGCTGGTTTCCATGAATCAAGAGGGATCCTGTCGGGACATTCATGAGCTCTTTCGGCATTTGCTAGAGGGGATCCCTGCAGTGGGATTCTGAGCTCTTGGCACTGCCAAAAGGAAGAATACCGGTTAAGCAGCTGGTGTGGTTTCTCCTGTCAGCAGGAAGGGCCAAATGCATAAACTCGCCCCGACTTTGACCCTGGCACAAACGTGACTTTGAGACCTTGCGTTCACTGTTTGCAGGTGAAGAGGGAAATCAAGTAATCGGGCAACTGAAAGAGCCAAAGAACGAGAAGGTAGTTAACTCTCAGAATTTAAACAGGAAGAGACCAACTAGCCGAAGACACCAAGGAAAAGGCCGCGAATCAGTAGGCAATCCAAGTTGCCTGTTGGTCCTTTCCACAGCCCCTAACAAGAAGACAGAAACATATTTTTGCTCGAGCTGAACTGGTCGGTCCGTGGAACAAGTTGTGCACTGTTGGCCGGTTGCTGGCAACAGTCATTGCCCAACAACATAAGTTAGCATGTGGTGGTTCTCTATTGACTCCTCGAACAAAAAAAAGGCTTGGGGGAGAACGGTCAATCCCAACGACCAACCGAGGAAATTGTGTGTCAACCGGTTTGTGTGAGCCATGATTCCCCTCATTACCTATACTGGCAGCAGGTGAAATAAAAAGTGCACCCCTAAAAAAAAGAACCTTGGGGTGAAATCGGTGGCCACCACATCGAGGAAGCGATGCAATGCTCTGTATGGGTGTGTCTCCAAGAGGAACCCCTGATTTGGGTGATGTCCTTTTGATCCCTTTAACAAGTTAAAACTGTTGGACTCACGCCCTGAGTGGATTGGCCAAATAAAGTCCGAACTTTTTGGTTGCCACTAGAATAAGCTTCCCAAAAAGTTTGAAGTACAGGAACTCAGGAAGTGAGTAGAGTAAAATGTGGTGTTCCTTCAAAATAGGGCCCCCGAACTATCGTGTCCTTTCGGTTTCCGTTGAAACAGCCGCCAAAAACAGGCCAAGTTTACCCCTAGAGTCGGAGTTTGCTTCTAAAACATAGACTTAGACATTTGCTTGCAAGAGGGCCACATTCTCACCCTGACAAGCTCTCAAACCCGACCTTGTTGGTTTCAAACGTTCGTCCTTGCAGAATGCAGGGGGAAACCATTGCATTATTTGTGGACCCAACACCACCCAGAATGTCGCTTCCCTCGTGGCTTCCTCTTTCAGCAAACAACATGTGACGGTACTTGTGTCGCACCGTGACCACACGCGCAGACCCCATAAACAAAAGCCAATTTCCTGTTCCACCGCTGATGGACCCCGCTGATTGACGGGGAGTGAAGTTCGCGCCTCTGCCGACACCTCATTGCGCCCCCTCAAGTAGTGTCCTCTCGGGTGATCTCCTCTGGCCTTTCCTTTTTTAGATTATGATCTCCGGTTGGTGGTCCTTTTAACCACCCCTGAGTTCCGGAGTTCTAGGCTAGCACCTCCAGCAGAGAGGTTGGAATAAGGGCACCCTTTTATCTGTAGTCTATTTTAGTAAGGGAACCCTCCCATCCAAAAAAGGGAAGAGCAGGGCACTACTGGGGGACCTAGCTAGGGTAATCCCCTTTTGGTCTCACCAAGCCCAACCGCTGGTCGCCCCGAACCGAGCCTCGCTGGTATCCAGCTCCGCGCCCCGCTTGTCCCCCAGCGCCAGCTTGGCGGCGCCCCGGTTGCGCCAGCTGAGGCCGTGGCACGGGTCCAGCTTCAGCGCCATGTCGTAGTCGGCCTCGGAACCGGCTTCAGCCGGGGCCGTCCCAACCGGGACGGAACAACATACGGAATGGTTTAGCCAAAAACCCACTGTATTCTAAGGTTGGGGAAAAAACGCACATCCGAACCCTACTCTCAAAAGTGTATTGTTGCCATGGGTTCTGAGGGGTGAGGTCATGTTCCATCTATATGAGGGGGTATCTACCGCCTTAGCTTTTGTTTGTGGCCTCGGAGACATCGGCAAACATCCAACCAAATACCACGGTTTTGGTGGACTTCCTGTAGGACTTCCTGTGTTCACGCCAAGTAGGTTTTCACCATGGTAGATGCCAGTGGCTTGCCTGCAGTACGTTACGATTGGTAGATCCCCGGCTCACTTGGGTGTTCAAACCACTCAGCAAGTAGGTTAGGACCATGATTGAGGGGACCCTAACATAACGAGCTATATAATCAGAACGTGGTGTTTGGGGTTGCAAAACTAAATTAGTCATGACCATGGGTGTTTGGCTACTTTCTTGTATAAAATTTTCAGTGGGTGATTCGGTTATTTTTTATTGTGTTTCCCTACGCCTCATGGCCTGGCCTCCAACTTGAGATGGCTAGCGGCGCCCGTAGCGGCTCGGGGGACCAGACATGCGGTGATTTTCCTTTTTGGAGCGAGGTGTCCCTACCCAAAAAAGACACCGACAAAAAGGACAAATCCATCATGGCCACTGCAAATCCGCGTTCAGGGCTTAGAGGTTTCATATAGAAACCTGCCACCGGATTTTGGTGTTTTGGCGTTCTGGTCGTCTGCCTCAAAAAAGAAAGGTTGCTTAAACCTTCAAGGGTGGCGCAGGGAAACGGGAACGAAGCCAATGCTTGTTTCGACCCTCGTGTTTTGATAATCTCGAGGCTCACATGAGTTGGTCAAAGTGCTCAGTTCCCCACCCAGCCTCTGTGGAATGGAACCCTATGAGTGTCACCCTTCTTACCCACTTCCTGAGTAGATGGCTGGCGAAAGCTTGTTTGCCATTACTATATGATCCTGCCAAAAAGCAAAACAGCCGAAGGCAGGAGGGAGCGTGTTTAAGGGAAACTGTAAATTACAGTCACCCCGATTGTCCCTATGGGTGTCATTGACGTGGTTCTTGATGTGGTTCTTCCCACATTGATTCAGAGCCACAGCAAGGGGACACCGATAGTTGCACTTAAGCCTATGCCTGAGTCAGATTAAACATCACCATTTCAACCATTTGTTGGAACACTTCCTCTTGGTGGGGAGATGTTTAAGGGGGATGTATGTATAGGGAGACGAGGTTGCCCTTAGATTCTAAGAGTAGCACATGCCCCCTGTCCTCATTGACTTTTTCGGTTGTCCGCCCACATTCGACTGACTATTTATTTCCCTCTGGGGAGAATGCAGAAGGCAGCGCAACAACAAGCCTTCTGGGCCACTTTTCCATGCCAGCCCCATTCAGCTT